TCGGGGAAAAAAACTGGGAAAATCAGGGAATTTTAGGGGAAGAAAAGTTGGGAAAGTCACGGAATTTTTGGGAAAAAACCCGGGAAAATCAGGGAATTTTTGGGAGAAAAATGGGAAAATCAAGAAATTTTAGGGAAAAAAACCCGGGAAAATCAGGGAATTTGGGGGGAAAAAAAGGCAGGAAAATCAGGGAATTTTAGGGAAAAAAACTGGGAAAATCAGGGAATTTTTGGGAGAAAAAAAGGCAGGAAAATCAGGGAATTTTAGGGAAAAAAACTGTGAAAATCAGGGAATTTTAGGGGAAGAAAAGTTGGGAAAGTCAGGGAATTTTTGGGAGAAAAAAACTGGGAAAATCAAGAAATTTTAGGGAAAAAACCCGGGAAAATCAGGGAATTTTGGGGGGGAAAAAGGCCGGAAAAGGAGGAGGAGAGCCCTGCTTTTGGTGTCAGGCTGGGAAAGGCGGGAATTCCCCGGGAATGCCGGGAATGCTGACCCACGTCGGCGTGTTTGAGGGCGCCCACGTCGTTGGTGCCGTCGCCGCACATGAGGGTGGGGAAGCCCAAGCTCTTCAGGGCCGTCACCACGAACTCCTGGAGGGGGAAAAAAAATGGGAATTTTCGGGAATTCCGAGCTGGAATTGTTCAGGGAACACCCTGAGCTTCATCCCTGGATTCCAAGAGATCCCAAATTCTGGGAATTCCCAGCTGGAATGGGATCAGGATCGTTCAGGGGACACCCTGAGCCTCATCCCTGGATTCCAAGAGATCCCAAATTCTGGGAATTCCGAGCTGGAATCTTCAGGATAACAACAGGGACACCATGAGCTTCATCCCTGGATTCCAAGAGCTCTGGATTTTGGGAATTCCCAGCTGGAAAAGGCTCGGGATCGTTCAGGACAACAACATGGACACCCTGAACCTCATTCCCAGATTCCAAACCTTGGGAATTCCGAGCTGGAATAGGGTCAGGATTGTTCAGGACAACAATAGGGACATCTTGAACATCATCCCTGGATTCCAAGAGCTCCCAAATTCTGGGAATTCCGAGCTGGAAAAGGCTTGGGATTGTTCAGGGAACACCCTGAGCCTCATCCCAGATTCCAAGAGATCCCAAATTCTGGGAATTCCCAGCTGGAATGGGATCAGGATTGTTCAGGGGACACCCTGAGCTTCATCCCTGGATTCCAAGAGATCCCAAATTCTGGGAATTCCGAGCTGGAATGGGATCAGGATTGTTCAGGGGACACCCTGAGCTTCATCCCTGGATTCCAAGAGATCTCAAATTCTGGGAATTCCGAGCCGGAAAAGGATCGGGATCGTTCAGGGGACACCCTGAGCCTCATCCCTGGATTCCAAGAGATCCCAAATTCTGGGAATTCCCAGCTGGAATGGGATCAGGATCGTTCAGGGGACACCCTGAGCTTCATCCCTGGATTCCAAGAGATCCCAAATTCTGGGAATTCCAACCTGGAAAAGGCTCGGGATCGTTCAGGGGACACCCTGAGCTTCATCCCTGGATTCCAAGAGCGTGGGATTTTGGGAATTCCCAGCTGGAATGGGATTAGGGACCTTCAGGATAACAACAGGGACACCTTGAGCTTCATCCCTGGATTCCAAGAGATCCCAAATTCTGGGAATTCCCAGCTGGAATGGGATCAGGATTGTTCAGGGGACACCCTGAGCTTCATCCCTGGATTCCAAGAGATCCCAAATTCTGGGAATTCTGAGCTGGAATGGGATCAGGATTGTTCAGGGAACACCCTGAGCCTCATCCCTGGATTCCAAGAGATCCCAAATTCTGGGAATTCCCAGCTGGAATGGGATCAGGAT